GAAGAAGAAAGAGGCGAGGAAGGAGAAAGGAAGGAGAAGGGTGGTGAGGAAGGAGAAGCCGGCAGCCATAGCTGACGGGGTGTTGACCGGGGTTGACGGACGTTGACCGGGAGAGTTGACCGGGCGTTGACCGGGAGAGTTGACCGGGCGTTGACCGGGTGCTAAGAGGCGTTGACCGGGCGTTGACCGGGTGCTAAGAGGCGTTGACCGGGCGTTGACCGGAGTTGACCGGGGGTTGACTGCAGCGTTTGACCGGAGTTGACCGGGGGTTGACTGCAGCGTTGACCAAGTGTTGACCAAGGCGTTGACCACGACTTTGACCAAGCTGGAGCCGGTATAATCTCACCAAGCCTTCAGCCTATCCCCTCGCCCTATGGATGTGCACACACCTTGTGCTACTTGCTGAGTCAAGTTTGTCTGTCTCTTCTTTCTGCATTGAGTCTCTTCTGTCCAAGTGATAGGAACTCTGTGGATGAAGGATAAGGCCTTGTTGACCAAACCCACACGGGCTGAGTAGGGCGAAAGACTGTGTCTGACGACTCGACTGTCCTGGAGGACACGAACCCTCCCAAGGACCAGTACTGACTGGCGGGCTGCTCGGTGTGGTCCGGTAGGCCCAAAATCCGAGTTGTGGGCTGCACAACAGGCTGTCTAAGTCTTGAGAGAACCAGCTGATCGCGTCGTGCTGTCTGCGACGTTAAATAATTCCTGAGGAGTTACGGGGGATCTCCTTAAATGCCTCCTAATCAGCAACAGGTCCTGTAGTGACAACCTTAGAGTAGGTCTAGGTTAGTGACCCTAGTTGACAGGATCCTGTCCGGATTCTGTAAGTCCTTAGATCGAGTCAGTACGTTTTGTCAGTCAGGGGCTAGAGTCTAAGTGGTGAGCAGTGGAACCGTTGATCGGTTGTGCACCTGACACCATGGTTGATACACGTAGTGGCAAGAGTACTGCCCCACAGTCCGAGGCCGAGCAGGCCCGGATCGCCGCCATCGTGAGAGAGAGAAAAGAGAAGAAAGAGCTCCTCAAGCAGGCGAAGTTAAAAGCAATCGCAGAGGAGCAGGCGGCGAAGAAGAAGAAGTTAGAAGAAGAGATGATGAGATTACAAAAGGAGAAGATGCTGATGCTACAGCAGGAGGAGGAAGAGAAGAGGAAGACTGCCGAAGAAGAAGCAGCAGCAGAGGAGGAAGAATAACCTCTTGAAAGAAGACGTGGGGGAGACAAAGGAGAGACAAGTGGCACGAAGGGAGAGGACGCCTGGATGGAGAAAAAGATTACCGAGTGAGTGGCTAATTTATCGTTGGGTGAAGACGAAGAGGCACTGTTGTACGTGCTGCAAGAGGAGAGGGAAGTGTTCGCCAGGGAGTTGGAAGCGATAGAGGATCCCTTGGAACGCCAGACAACAAAAGACAAAAAGAAGTTGGAGTGGAAGTTACGTATGATGAGGGAGAAGAAGAGGAGGAGGGAGGAAACCAACCGGGTGGCTAGAGAGGTGGAGAGAGTCCGCGCATGCAGACAAGAGGTTCAGGCACAGGCAGAAACCCCCGCGAAGTTAGATGAGATTCTGGGGTACCTGGAGGTACTGAGCGAGGCTTGGCTTGAGGAGCATCAGGCCAACAAGGGTCAAGATGTGACCCTTCATGCCATCCGATCCGGTTTTAGAGAGTTTGCGCACGACGTGGTGACCCACGTCGGGACCGAGGTCAAAAGACTGAAGGAAGGCATAGGTGCCATTGAAAGCGCCAAAGTGGTGGCCACAGCAGAGGCCACGACGCGTTCCCGTAAAGAGCCCGTGAAGCTCAAATTTCCTGATGCCTATAGCGGGAAAAAGGACGATAGCTTTGACAACTGGGAGGCTAGCGTTAATACTTACGTGTATTTACAACATATTGCTCCAGAGAAACAAGTCCTCGTAGCCTTCCACGCGTTATAGGATGAAGCAGCAAGCTTCGCCAGGTCCCTTGCGCGCGCTGCGTATTGCGAGCATAATATGATTGCTTATTCTAGGCTTACCCCTCTCTCCACTTTTCTCCAACTCCTGTGTGAGAGGTTTGCTGACGTCACAAGAGGCGTCAGGGCCTCTGACAAACTCCAAACCATCCACACGCGATAGTGGAGGAGTGCGCGAGCACTCAAAGCTGTCATGGGCGACTTGGTAGCCGTCCCAGACCACGGGGTCACGGAGACCCAGTTGGTTCAGTTGTTTTATCGTGCCATGCCAGAGCCCTTACGAGGGCATTTCTTTGACAAGATCCAACAGGCCAACATCACGTATGATGCGTTGAGTCGAAAAGTGGTCGTGTTCGAGGCCAAGTCTATGCCAGTTTCCACTTTCTGGCACAAGGATTTAGACAAGGGAAAAAAGTGGAAAGGCCGTACCATCTCTGGCCAAGTTAGGGCCAAGGATTATTTGATCCTTACGTTAGACGAAGGTGGTACTGACGAAGTCCCCTATAGTCAGATCAAGTGGGGGCTTGAGGAGGAGGACACTAGTGTAAACCAGGGGAGGACCTGTGCTGCTGTCGCGGCTGGAGGGAGGCCACAAAGTAGAGGAGGAGCCAGGGCCAAAGGGGCCAGGCCACGGGAGGTCCAGGACCGGGCGCACAGGGGGTTGGCAGTCAAGGGAACCGTCAAGTGGGAGGTAGGGGTCAAGGTCCCCAGCCAAATCGTCAAGGTCCCAGTCGGTCCCCGCAGCGAAGAGGTGGAAGGTCACCTCGAAGGCAAGGAGGTTGGCACCCAGGCTGGCCACAAGGCCAGCCTTGGGAAGATCTGGGCCTGGACCAGAGAGTGTGGCAGCAACGTATGGAGCAGGGGCAGTGCATTTACTGTGGTGACCCTGCCCATATTATAAAATATTGTCATAAGTATAGACAGGCTCGATGGGCTGCCCAGGAGTCAAAAGGCAGCCGCCGGTAGGGGTTGCAACTGCCCCTACTACTAGGCCATGTGGGGAAACGAGCGCGTGCATACAGAAAACTCCCACACCACATGAGCCTTCGGCAGAGGTTGCAGGCCCGTGCCTAGTTAGCTGTTCAGAGACTGCTTGTGTTAGCGTCTCTCTAGGCACTTCCCTCACAGGCGTGGCAGAAGAGTTGAAGGAGAGGATGCCAACCTGGGCCAAAATGAAGAAAGAAAGTAAAGGGCAGCTAGTGTTAGTTGACGTAGAAGTTTTTAGAAGTAGAGTAGGGGCCCTCATAGATTCAACGGCCACCCGTAGTTATATTAGCCGTAGGGCGCTGAAGAAGTTGAGGCTAGGGTTAAAAGTCCAAAAGTTGGAAGACCCCATAGTTAGTGTCCTCGCAGACAACCGCAGTATGCGTGTTGAGGACTACGTAGAGGGAGTCCAGGCGTATTTCCGCCTAAAGAAAGATGGGAAGGTGGAGAAAGTTCTCCATTCCTTGACTCTCCTCATACAGGATGACCTTCCTTTCGATATAGTCCTAGGTATGGACTGGGAGAGGCAGCAGGGGCCACACTTCATTTGAGAGAACATGAGTGTAGGCTCCCTAGTCCGTCATGCGAGGTTAAGACAGCCCGTCTGTTCCACGTGTCAGGAGTAGATAACTCACTGGCGCATTGTTGTCTCAGTGCTCCCGCGCTTGCGCGACTAGTGAGAAAGGAGCAATTAGAGGATCAGGTCTTCGTAGTGTATGTCAGACCTGTCACTGAGCCTAAGGAAGAGGATAGTTTCATGGATCCAGCCATTGCCAAGCTGCTGGAAGAGTTTAAAGATCTGACAGAGCCGCCGACAGGAGTAGTGCCGTGGCCAATCCAGCGCAGGATAGAGATAGAGCCTGGCAGTAGAACTCCTACGGGAGCAGTTTACAGGATGTCCCCTAGGGAGTTAGAGGAGCTGCGCAAGCAGTTGGACGAGCTCCTTGAGAAAGGTTGGATTAGGCCCAGTTCGTCTCCTTTTGGAGCACCAGTTTTGTTTGTTCCCAAGAGGGAAGGAGAGCTGCGTATTTGTATAGACTATAGGGGTCTGAATGCAATCACAGTTAAGAATGTTGAACCACTGCCCAGGATAGACGATCTCTTAGATCGGGTGCAGGCTTGCAAGTATTTTTCAAAGTCCGGGTATCATCAGATAGAGGTCCACCCTGATGACCAGTACAAGACTGCTTTCCGGACTAGATATGGGCATTATCAGTTCATAGTGATGCCCTTTGGACTGACCAATGTGCCAGCTACATTTCAGCGATGTATGGATGATCTGTTTAGGCCGTGGTTGGATAGGTTTGTCGTAGTGTACTTAGACGACATCTTAGTGTTCAATAGGACCCTCCAAGAACACCAGGGTCATTTGAGGCAGGTCTTGGAGAAGCTGAGAGAGGCTAACTTCAAGATCAACGCAAAGAAGTGCGAGTGGGCCAAGACACAAGTCTTGTACTTGGGCCACGTGTTAGACGGAGATGGCATTAAGCCTGAGGACAGTAAGATAGTGGCGATTAGAGATTGGCCAACGCCCCGCACATTGACTGAGTTGCGATCGTTCCTAGGTCTGGCTAACTACTATAGGAAGTTTGTGAGGAACTTCTCGACTATCGCCGCTCCCCTTCGCAGGTTGCTCAAGAAAGAGGCAATTTGGCAGTGGGATAGAGATTGTATGTCTGCGCTAAAGAAGTTAAAGCGCGCGTTGATGGAGTACCCTGTCCTCAAAGTAGCAGATCCGTCCTTGCCATTTGTCGTCACCACGGACGCCTGTCGGTATGGTATAGGCGCCGTGTTACAGCAGGACGACGACAATGGCTATAGACCCGTAGAGTTCATGTCAGCGAGGATGCCCTCAGAGAAGGTAGCTACCTCGACGTACGAGAGGGAACTCTACGCTCTCAGGCAGGCTTTAGAGCATTGGAAGCATTACCTGCTTAGGAGGCACTTCAAAGTGTATTCAGATCACGAGACTTTGAGGTGGCTGAAGACACAGGCCAAAATGACACCTAAGTTGACTAGGTGGGCCGTTGAGATAGACCAATACGACTTTGAGCTCAAGCCTGTTAAAGGCAAGTACTATGTGGTTGCGGATGCTCTAAGTAGGAGATCAGACTACTTTGGAGCTATAGTTCACTATCTGGACATGCGGAGTGACCTGCAGGAGAAAGTTAGACAGGCGTATGCGCAGGACCCAATTTATAGCAACCTCCTCAAGAGAGTCAAGGAGGCCCTAGAGACTGGACCAGATTGCCGCACTAATGTCGTAGACCGTCTGTGCGTTCCCAACAGCGAGGAGATCCGTAGTCTGATCTTAGGGGAATGCCACGACACAGAGGGACACTTCGGTTGGCAAAAGACTTTAGCCAACCTGATGCATGCATATACGTGGCCAGGAATGAAGAACGACTGCATAGAGTATGTCCGCAGTTGTAAAGTTTGCCAAAGAAATAAGACCACTACCCGTGCCCCTCTAGGTCTTCTCAGACCCTTGCCTATTCCTGATCAGCCAGGAGATTCAGTGTCCGTTGACTTTATGGACGTCGGCGTCAAGAGTAGGCACGGCAAGAGCCAAGTCATGGTCATAGTTGATAGATTTAGCAAATATGTTGTTTTCGTTCTTTTGCTTGCAGATGCACGCACCGAGTTAGTAATACAGAAGTTCTTTGATTTTTGGGTTAGCGAGCATGGCGTCCCATTGTCTATTGTTAGTGATAGAGATACCCGCTTCACTAGCCAGAACTGGCAGGAACTGATGAAGGTCTATGGATCCAAGTTGTTGATGGAGTCTGCCACCATCCAGAGACTAACAGTCAGACTGAGCAGATGAACAAGATCCTGCAGCAAGTTTTGCACATGTACATCAGACCCGATCAGATCAACTGGGGCGAGATGTTGCCCAAGGTAGCCAGTGCGTACAATAACAGTGTGCACTTGTCCACCTGTCGCACTCCTAATGAGTTGCACAAGTCCTTTAGACCACGCAGACTGTTTGAAGTACTCAATCGGGATCAGATTCACAGGCTACCGCCCGGTATCAGGGAGTTTGCGATACAGCACGAGAGAGAGCTAGCTACAGTTGTTGAGAACCTCAGGAAGGCCCAGCATAAAATGATAGAACAAGCCAACAAGCACCGTCGCCCATCGCAGTTCCAAGTAGGCGACTTAGTCTGGGTCAAGTCCAAAGAGTTTGCTCCTGAGGAAAACATCTCGCAGAAGTTACTGCCCACGTATAGAGGACCGTGGCCAGTTCTAGAAGTTAAGGACGGAGAGGATGGGCCATCCTACACAGTAAAGATACCAACACACCTCCACACCTACCTTGTAGTTCATGCATCAAAGTTGCTGCCGTGTGTCACTAGTCAACAGTTTCCCTCTAGACGGTCCATGATCCCCCCGGACATGGACGGAAGGTACGACATCGACGACATCGTAGGTGAAGATGTGTTTAGGATAGGAGGTAGAGGTCGTCCACAAGAGCAATATAAGGTCCGATTCGCTTATCAGGAACCAGAGGACGATCGCTGGTTTACTATAACAGAAATTCTGGAAACAGCTCCCGACATAGTTAGAGCCTATGAGAGAGATAAGAAGGGAAAAGATCCTGCCTTGGACTGAGTTATTCTCGGAGGACCTCGAATTTAGGCCGGCGGGAGTGAAACGGTATTCACCTGATTGCAGTAGCTGATGCAGATCCCAGAGCTCGATCCCTAGTCAACACCTTACCTGTGTACAGTATTTGTGTTGACCCCGAGAGTTGAACCCGTGACCTATGTATTTGTAACGGTTGGTAGACTGTCGTAGGGTCCGTAGGTAGCAAGGGTTCGATCTGTAGACCTGTCGGGTAGGAGTCTTAGCAAAGTCTAGAAGTCGTAGCTATAGCTTCTCCGAAAGGTCAAGGTCGTAGCTGCTACAGTCCTGAAGGGTCAAGGTCGTAGCTGCTACAGTATCGAA